GTGTTTTGACGCGAAACTGGTTGGAAGGAAGAGGATGAAGACGTAGAGGTTCTCGAAGCAGGTTGTAGCATAGTCGCAACCGACATTATGTGAAATCAACGGTGGACGGTGTCTCAAAGAAAGGCACACAAAAGAACCGCTCCCCAAAATCCAAGGTACGGTATATACTAAGGACGAGCGACCAGCCACCAAATAGGCCAACAGACACCGGCAAGAGGAGATGTCGGTTTGTTGGTTGACGATCGCAAGACTCAGCCGCTAAATTTCATGTACCCGAGCTGGTCATCTGGGTTGAGAATCTTGAACGCGACCACAACGTAATCGGTCGAGTTGCACCCCTTTAGCGTACGCGTTTCAAACTTGCGTCGAGGGTACCACGGAAGGGATGGCAGGGTCGCTGATTATTCGATTAATACAATGAAAAGCCGACGAGTGGAGAGATGTAATTTTCGCTGCTCAATTGTCGGTGTGGGTGAAATTTTTTTTCTCGTCTGTTGGTGGAATGCCAGCGAGGGGAAAAAGTGGTGGTGGAAGCGATCAACAGGGGACGAGACGATTTGAATGCTCCGACGGAAGAAACGAGACGGGGTGTGTGAGATATATTTCCGAACCGTCGAGTAGCGTCGCGGGAGACGATTGAATCCAGACGCGAGCGAATTCGGAGTTGGCGATGAAAGCCAAAGCAAGGAAGCAGAGGAATTAATGGATATTTCGGAAGAAGAGGGAGGCAGGAAATGCAGTGCCGTGGATGGCGAACAGCTGGAGACGGAAACCACAGCCAATGCAATCCACCCGAAGAGGCCGAATGAGACAGTAATAAGAATGGGGAGTGTTACGAGGGAATCGGCACGAGGAAGATAAAGGACGGGGGATTGGAAAAAAAAAAAAATCCAAGAACGAAGGGAAGACGAAGCCAGCCAGGGAAGGAGTGTAAGATTAATAGGGCATACGGGCAGCTGGAGCGGTAAAGTAATGAGGATGAACGAGAGGGAGGGGAAACATGAACAAATAATAATAATAATAATAGCAGGAGGGGGTCGATTTTCTTAGGGCGTGAGGGACCTTGGAATATGGAGTGGAGCTCCCACACCTGCAGCGCGAAGACTCAGGAACCGCGTTGTCTCTACTGCGTCCTGACTACTGCGTATACTCCGGGTGGCTGCTCTTTATTCTTGATTATTCTATTCTTGAATCTGCTCATTTCATCTAGAACCCTGACGCTGTGCTCCGTCCCTCCCGATAGACTGTGTGATTTTCGAATCTCCCCTGTCCCTGCGTCGGTGGTAAGTTAATCTCCAGATGATCCATGGCAAGGAACGCCAGGAGAAAAAAAAAAAAAAAAAAAAAAAAAGGTGGTTGTCCCAAACCGCATCGATGAACAATTAACATGATTTTTTTTCTGCCACTCCACTCCACTTTTCATCCCCCCCCCAGACCCAGCAAACGATCCCTGTGCCTGAATTCAAGCCTATTCGGGAATCACACCCACCATCACCGCCCGGAATTAAGAGTTCGCTTTCAATTGACTCGCTGATGAGGCTAGGCCGGTGGAATTCAAATCAATCCCGGACAGTGCATAAGGGTGATTTATCACTGTAATATCAAAAATAATTATAATCAAAATAGGAACCTCGAGGCAACGGGTTAAAAAAGAAGAAGAAAAAAAAATTAAAAAAACAGCACACCGACCAATGACCGACACGCGAGAAAATATGGAGAAAGTTGGAGGTCCTGTTTTTTAGTCTTCTCCGCCAGCCCTGGTGATTGGCATGTTGAATCATGGTTTAATTTATCGCCTTTCCTGCCGTCGTCCTACGGGGTCAAATTCATCAATGGCAATCAAATATACTACGGAGTATGTATCGTGGATTAAGAGGGCCAAGGAATCGAGTAATGGATTGCATCCCGCGTAATGATGAAGTATGAATCCAACCCTCCATCGTCTCAATCGAGAAGGCATCCGGATGATCGTCTTCCGCCGCCTGCCATCCTTCATGACTGCGATATTCAGAAAGTCAACAGTGCAATGCACGTAGACGCAAGGGGAATTTCCCCATCCGCCGGAGCCACCTGCTGCACGTACCTTGTCTAATCCTTTGCACTAGCCATTAGTTCACGTTAGTTGCGCGAAGAATTACGGAGTCGAGCAGGCCCAGAGGAAAATAAAAATAAAAATAAAAATAAAAAAACGCGAGCCAAAATCCCAGGTACTAGCAGGCACTCTAGGGGAGACCAGTTCCCAGTCGTTAGCGGGCGTCTCGAGTCCCTTTTTCCCCATCCGTTTACCCCTGGCCCAATGCGCGGCACCGAACATCGCCACCCTCTCGGTCGTTCGGGAGCGAACAGGGGGGCCGAAGGTGCGACCAAGAAAAAAAAAAAAAGATTGACTCGACACTACGCATACTGCGTACTACTGCGTACTCCGTAAATAATGCTGATGATGCACACGCAACCGTGCAGAGGGGTGGAGGAGGGCGGTTGCCTGTGTTATCTCTCGGGACCAGGATGATGCCGTGTTTGAATGATTGACATGGGGATTTTTCTTTAATTTTATTTTGAGGGTGACACTCACGGCATGCTGTCTGCAGCAACCAACGGACATCGTGCATCGTCCTACTTGCCGGATTCTACGTTAGCCGTCCTACTCCGGAGTAGGTAAACCTAAGACGGTCTGGAGTAGATGAGCCGATTACCACGCGTACGCAGGAAGTAGACTTCAGGATCTGTGGGTAACCGGCCGACCGCTGTCAGAATCGCATTTACGATTTAACATTTGAGTCGTCATCCTGATTGTTTCCCTGCTGCCTTCTTCCTGGCAGGTCGATAGTCGCGACTCAGGAGTCTGTGTGGTGAAACGGGGGCCTCCCATTGGCGAACCCCCCATGTCGGTTGATTTTATGATTTATTTTATTCAGGTGGTGAGGGGGGGCAAAGGGAAGAGGGGGGCCCACAGTTCACAGTTCCTCCCACCATTCCCGACCGACTTGGACCGATAAGGATTAAGGAGAGAGGGAGGATGTCCCGTGCCATGCCACCCCCCCTAAATCTCAGTGAAGGCAACTGGTACCTGCGTCAAAAACCGCCCGTCCGCAGCAGGAGGGCCCCGATGCGGGTTAGCGTCCTGCAGGCGGTGGTTTGGTGACACCCTCCTAATCTGTATTCATCGTTCCATTGGGGGAGGCATTGAAGATTACCTCCCTACGCAGGTAGGGATGTTCACTCCGTGGATTGATTTCTTGATTTCTGTCTGACTCCATCCATTCCTTATCCATCTCGTTCACAATAATCAACTGCCCCTGTCGGTCAACATGGATGATTTCCAAATACTGTGCGCCCTCACTCTCGCCCTGACCGGGACGCAGAAGTACCGACCAGGGGAGACCGTTGAACCCGCAGGGAGCATCATACAATCCCCGTTGTCCGTGACCTCCCCTGACCCCCATTGGCGGACCCGGTAAGACACCATTACATCATGACTTCGCGGAGACTCAATCCCCTGAGCACTGTCAACGACCGGAGAGTCAGACTAGACAACCCGTCGGTCTAGCGGCATGCAGACCATGACCACGGATGTCTCAGGAGTCAGGTGGACTCCCGGGTCTACTCTTACTCTGTACGCTGGGCGCCATGCAGTGTCCGTGAAGATAGACTTTCGTCAAGTCCACGGGGACTCACATCTTGTGCTACCCCGGGTTTGGTGGCCCGAGGGTTTGGAGTACGTAAGTCGTGGTTCTTCTACATACTCTGCAGTTACTAGTTAGTCGTGGGTGTTTATGGAGTTGCATCGGCAATTCTCGGCTTGATATTTTTTTTCTTTTTCTTTTCTTTGTCTTCTCCCCCTCCTGACGCATGACCTTTGACCTACCGCAGACCCCAATCGATGCTAATCCCCATCCCCGTCAAGACTAGAGAATAGTACGAAACAAGGAGGGCACGGACATCATCCTGGTCCTTGGGTCATCTCGTATTTGGCCTTGTTCTCTACTATTTACGGAGCATTCTCTATCTAGCGCTGGCGGACTGACCCAGCCCCGTGGTAAACCAAGTCCGGGTTGGTTTCGACTATCGAGTCTATAGCGTCGGTGATATTAGTATATCGACATGGGTTATTCTCCGGATGCTCCGTACTCCATATCTACGGCGTGCAGCAGATGACCACCCCGACCACTCCGTAATCATGATATGATGATATTCATGGACTCCGCATACCCACCCCAGCTGAACCCACAGGACCCGGAGCGCCAATTGAATCCATTCTGGCTAGTGAGCTCGAATTCTCCTGAGTCCTCGCTCTCCTCATACCAGATCCTCCCCTTTCTCCACCGAAACGATTGCATGCTGCAAAGTATATTCTCCGTACGGCATGGGGCTGGTCCCTAAATATCTAGCTCGCCGATGTGCAGCGCAACATGGCCATCCTCATCAAAGTGCCGGCACCTTAATTGAAGGTCTGTTGATCGCCGTCGCAGTACCCCGCCATGGTTGAACTGGACTGCATGTGCTATGTTGCTTTATCTGTCGCCAGTAAGGTCGGTGGAGCTGCAGTGGTACAACGGCCCTACATGCATGTCCGTAGGCGTGTGCATACATGTGGCTATCCAACTGTCTTGGTGCATATAGGCATGCACCTGGGCTACCAACACAGACCATGCATAGTAAAAATAGAGTGTCCACATTCCTCGATGATATCATAAATACCGTTCTGTCTCTAGACCCGGAGATGCGGGATGCCACTATTGAACCTTCTCCGGCATCATCGAGGGGTTTTCCACACCGCTCTTTAAGACATAGCGGAATAGAAATAGAATACTCGTAGAAGATTATATCTAACTCACTACCAGAATTACTAGATACTTTCCGAACCTGGCACCTTCATCCTCTCGCTGTAGTTATACCAAGCGTAGAACCGAATGGCTGACAAAGATCTCCGCATGTCCAATGCACTAACTTACTCCAGCTGCTAGTAGTGACTTGGCTCTACCTTAGTCTCCAGAATTCTTCACAAAAAACTCAGCACAGTCAGAACCCTACATCTTATCTATACCATCACCCAAAACACCTAGGATGCATATATCCAAGCTCTACCTCCTCGCCTACAACACCCTCGGCGCCATCCTCTGGCTCCGCATCCTCCTCACCCTCTGCTTCCTCGCCCTCTCCCACCCCTCCGCATCAACCCTCCCTCTACCAACCACCATCTACACCACCCTCGAGCCCCAAACAAGATGGGCCCAAACCCTCGCTGTAGCTGACGTTCTACACGCCGCCGCGGGTACACATCCCCATCCCCAGGCTAAGCCTTAAGCCTTACAACCCCACCCGATACCATAGTAAGCAGAGTACTAAACAAGAGATCAACAATAGGAATCACGCGCGCCCCCGTCTTCACGACCTTCACGCAGGTCTTCGCGCGCTCCGTCCAGGTCTGGGCCATCAACTACGGCTTCCCCGGCGTGACGGGGCCGTCGGGCGCCTACGCCTGCATGCTCCTGGCGTGGTCGGTTGCGGACGCCGTGCGGTATGTGTATTTCGTGGCGCTGTTGTCTGGGTCCGGGTTCGAGACGGGCGTGGTGAGATGGTTGAGGTATGTTTTCTCCCATGTCCTTAAGGGCGTTTCTCTGTTCTGTCCATGTGTGTAGGGTGGGTGGATGCTGATATGGAAGCGAAATAGATACTCGCTCTTCATTGTCCTCTATCCCGTCGGTATTGCCAGTGAGTGGTGGCTTATGTACGGTGCGGCGACGACGACGCAGAGGGGAGCTGTCTCGGGGGTGTTTTATTTCTGCTTGGGGCTTTATGTGCCGGGTGAGTTTATTTCTTGTCCTCTGTGACTGGCTGTCCTGCTTTCTTTGGGGTGGGTGTGCTAATGTGGGTTGGATAGGGTCTGTCATGATGTATTCGTATATGATTAAGCAGCGGAGGAAGGTGCTTGCGTAGATTGCATCTTTCTTTTGTGCTGGAGATCGGATGAATGGGGTTGAAATTGGTAAGGTGTGTATATTGATGTATATTACTATAATTGTTGTGCAGTATATAGAATAGAAAGGAGTGAAAGGTCGGTTACAAAATATAGATATACTAATTGAGGTAAGAGCATGACATCGAATGTTCATTGATTGATCGTACATTCTTTCTAACTCAAGGGTATCGCTATGAATAACTAGGAAACCAACCACCTTTTCTATCATGAGTTCCTCCCCCATGAATTCTATCCAACATAATCCAATGGCATAACCAAGTACATGGGTGAGATCACCGAAAGGTAAACGTCTTCCCGGGCAACTCTCGTTTCTGCTTGCGTGCTCCAGACGGCGCATCCATGGCCTTCGCGTACGGATTGAACGGCGCCTTCTTCGGAAGCCCTGATCCCTTCGTGGTCTGGCCGTGTAGCACCGTGTCCGCCGTCTCGTAGTTGAACGGCGCTTCCTCAGGTTTGGACTCGGGTTGGGGTGTGTTCTTCCCGGATCCGTTTTTGTTCTTTTTCTCCTTCCGGCGCTGCTTCTTGCTGGGCTTCTCGGCGAGGTCGACGGTTTGGCTGAGGTCCTCGATTTCGGGCGCCTCCTCAGAAGCGGTTTCGACGGGGGTGGCTTTGCGTTTGCGCGGGCCACCGAGGTCCTTGACCGTGAAGATCTGGTTCTCAGGAGCCTTGGGGGGTTCGGTGGGGGTAGGCTCGGGCTTCGGGGCGGCGGCGGCGGTCTGGTCGCTGACGGTGTGACGTACTTCGGAGACGGTTCGCGGCATGGGTGGAAGAGGTAGGGAGATTCGAAGGGCCTCGGCAGAGGCGACGGCGGAGTACTCGGGAGGTGTAAGCGGTTCTTGCGAGTTGAGGATATCGCCCCAGAACTGGGAGACTTCGTAGCGCTCAGCGGTGGGATGGTCCTCCGGAGTCGAATGCTCTTGGTCTTGCTCAGCTGCAGGCGCAGTCTGGTTGGGCTTAGATGGCTTGACATAGACATCGCGCCATTCAGGTCCCGTGGCACCCTCGATCTTCGCCTGCTTGATGGTCTCCAGCAGGTCCGATACCCGGTCTTTGGTGATAGGAGTCATCGGCGACAACGTCCGGAACAGAGTGCCCTTGTCCACAGGCATAACGCTGGCGACCTTGAAGAGGATGTGCTTCGGGAAGACGCATTGCACGCCTTCATCTTCTTCTCTGGCAACCCGGTCACGCCATTGATGCACAGCCTTGAAAACAGCAAATTGCTCTTTGCTCAGAACAGCGGGGTTGCGACACAAGTAGTCGTACCAGCCACCGGCACCTTGTCCGGTAGCAGCGTCGTAGACGGGGCGCTCATAGCGCTGCAGGGCCTCGTTCTTCGAATGGTCCAGAACATAATCGACGAGGTTGTGGTCAGGGAGCGAATTCTCGACCAGCTCGTTCCGCAGATGGTCGTAGATGTGAAGGAGATAGTGCGTATCGGAGCGAGCATAGTCGAACATGCCAGTGGGGAGAGGTCGAATTCTCCAGTCGGCCATCTGATACCTCTTGTCGGCTTCGAAGTTGACAAATTTCTGTAGCAGGAACTTCAAACTGCGCTTGGGGTAGTTGAGCGCGCACGCGGCATGGTACGTGTCAAACATGCCAACAACGTACAGCCCGAGATCCCGCTGCAGCCAGATAATATCCATCGACGATCCGTGAAGAACCTTGAGGATCCCCGGATCGGCAAACACCGCGTTCAGCACCTGGAGCTCCTCCCGCCACGGCTTCAGCGTATCCACCACCCAATCCTTGTCCCGAGTACTGATTTGCATCAGCGACACAAGACCATGGTACGAATGCACGTCGTGATGTTCCAGATCAATCGCGATCTCCTTGGCCGTCTTGAGCTCCTTCAACATGTCCATAACCCCCTCCAAAGTATCCACAAACGTAGCCGTCGTCGACTCAAACGGCAAATAATCAACCGGCGGGGACACCTCGTATGTCGAAGGCGGGTACTTCGCCGCGCGAATCTCCGGCTCGTACGGGTTCACATACCCCTCGGACTTCTCCAACGGCACCGTCGCATGTTCCTTCGTGCGCAGCAAAGGCTTGAAGGGCGAGACATCCGTATTATCGACCGCACGCTTAAACTCCAGCTGGGGCTTGGGGATCTTCGACGGCCCGTAGTCGTAAACAGTCGGGAACTTGGTCGCAGGCTTTTTCGCAGCCTTGGCGGCGGCGGCGGCGCTTTGTTCCTGTTGCGACGGGCTCAACCTCTTGATGACACCCGTGAACTCATCCAGACAGGCATCCGCCTTCTCCAGCAGCGCGTCGATCACATCCACCACCCCGCGCCAGTTATCCTCGATGGAATCCTCATCTTGCAGACTCGGCGCGGCGATATCCGTGCCGGCCGTCGCGGCTTTCAGGATCGACGACGTAAGAGACAGAATGCGGTCACTTTGCTCGTCCAGAGACTCGGTGAGCTCGGAGCTCGAGGATCGGTGGAAAGCGAGATCTTCAGCGGAAAGTTGACCGACGGTGCGCGTCATCTGCATCAGCGACGAGGCCAGCCGGTCCTGGAACGGAGGGAAATCAGCAGCGGAATCCATGATGGCAGGTAGGATCCTTTCTATGGATCAGATCAGTGTGATGAGAGAAAAGAAAAAGAAGCCGAAGCAGACAATGACGGACAGACCACGACGATCTGTGCGAGCGTCCGCTTTGTATTCTTTTTGTTATCTCCGTCGACCTTTTCAATGCGAAGCTTCGGAAAATGAAAAAGAAAAAAAGAACCGGCTCGGAGGTGGAGAATAGTGGTGCCGGTACCGACTAGACCGCCTACCGGAACAGGATAAGTGATAAGCCGCGCCGATCATCTTCGTCCATCGGAGTTGGAGGCGATTCATTCAGTCCGCATTGCCACTCCATAATATCAGACCATCTGCATTTGAAAGACAGATATCACCTCCAGATCTACTCACTATCTATTCATCACTACGTCAGAATGGCAGCATCGATAGCCCCCGAATGCAACGAAGTCAAAGAGTAAGTTCACTCGTCGGAGAGAAAACCCACCTCCGAACTGCCTCACTAACACCACCTCCAACTCTAGGAAATACGACACCTGCTTTCTCAAATGGTACAGTGAAAGTACGCTCATATCACCTTCTAACTCCCCGGCCACGATTGAATTTCACCCCTAACGTCTCGGAATAGAGTATCTGCGCGGAAACACCTCCGCCAAGGACTGCGACGAACTCTTCTCGAAATACAGGACCTGTCTGAATGTACTTACTTTCCCTTTCCCGTTATACCCGATACATTCCACCCAGAGGAATCTAACGCAGGACATACAGGTCGCACTGAAAGACCGAGGAATCGACTCGATGCTCGACGACGCACGGAAAAACAACGCGAAGGAAAGCGACATGGAGCACCTGCGGAACTGAAACGCCGACTTCCGGACACTTCTGAAACGATGTTATGAATGAGTTTTGCATACCTCTTCGCTCCGTCCATCTATTCGCCCACCTCACTCTCCACTCCTCCCGGATCGGGATGTACTCCGACGTTTCTCTCTGCACTCGCCGCTCGCCGCTCGCCGCTTACCGCGAACAGAATGCGAGTCGATAGGCCTCTGGGGAGAAAAGATATCAATCTTGTTGCTGAAGTGGCTTGGTTGCTTCGGCACTTGGGAGCCGAGACTGCGGGATCCACGGCCGATTGTGTCTTGTCTCATGTCTGAGATCGGTTTCACGGGTCTACAGCATTGTGAATGGCTTATAGCTTAAGCATAGCGATCTATTATTAGCTTGGATTTCTATTATTCTGCTTAATTGCTTGTGGGTTGCATGTAAATTATGGAGTTTGCATTCTGCGTGCTAGATCTAAACTTATCTAGATACTGTACTGTACAATATTTGTATAATTCATACTTTCCCTCCACCTCATTATCAGAAATAGTGTATTATTATTCGCATAAACTCATATCTATCTATAAACATCTAGCTCATGAATCACCGATGTCCTCTTCGTCTCATATCCCCTTGCCCAAATCCTCCAGGCACTTTAAGCAGCCCGTTCGCCGCGTTGCCAATTCCCCCACCCATCGAGGAAGAGCTGCTTCCTGTACTATGGGTTTTCCGGGGCTGCGTCAGAATGGACCATACTTCTGCCATACCGGCCCGACGGGCAGGAAGCATGCTATATTGCATACTATATAGATTCCGACGGTGGATGGGCGGCACGAAGCGGCCAGTGAAGAGACAGAAAATGACCTGCGGCGAGAGATAGTGTTTCCGAAGTCGGTGGCCGAGCTGGAAGTATTGGTCGAACATGGCGCGAAGAGTAAGGGGGATTGACTAGATAGGTGATGTTAGAACCATGTCAAGGTTGTGATCAAAGAGCATAGGAATGCATACCTCGAGGTGAATATATGGCACCGAAGTCGAGCTATCCGATGATTTGTCGTTCTCTTCCCGAAGCTCGAAGAGGATCCCGCCTATTCCAGGTGTAATTTATTAGCCAAATTATCTTTTGCATGAGTGGAGGGCGACATACCGGGTAGTCGACGAGAGTCCTTGACCCGCAGCATGAGTGCAAATAGCGGGAAATGATTCAAAAAAGCCAGCCATGTATCAAGCGCCGCTTTCAATGAGATGATTAACATCCGCGCGGATGCAAACGCCAAATAGAAGACAATGATAGTAGGCAAGAGGAAGAAAAGCACGGTGAATAGGATGGTGCCGATGAGGAGTTGATCAAGGTCATAGTCGCATGAATCTATACGATTGCGGAGCACATTTCGCTTCTTTCCGCGAAAAAGATGGAACAGAGATATGATGATGGTGAGTTGCCAGTTGAAAATGCGCGCCGACGCGGTGTAGAAAGAGTAAATATGCACGGTCAGGATGGACACAAGATCTGAAAAGAGCGCGATGGGCATGCTGGCTCCCGCGAAAGACGAGCATCCAACAATGTATATCACATGAGGCAGATAGGGTTGCAGATTCGCAATGCAGGCTTGGTCAAACAGTCAGTTGTAAGACCAGGCAGATGTGGGATGGATCCCTTACCGGCCCAGTTTTCGATCACCCACAAGAACAGATCACCGAGGAACGCAGCGAGTTCGTTGTTTAGTTTAAGACCTGCCGGCCAGTCCATCAGCCAGGAAATAGTGCGTTGCAGACCCTCGACCGTCCAACCCGTGAGGATGGAATTAATCTGAAAGGCCACCCAGTTGGCATTGTCGATGATGTACGATCCCAGCGCGATCCCGATGATCACATCGTTGGCCACAAGCCACAAGCTGTTGTAGAACCGGATGTAATCCGGATGACTCGTTGTCACGCTCTCCCAATTATCCTTCCTTTGTCGCAACTTGGCGTATTGAATGGGCCAGTAGCAAAACTGCTGAAGCCGAATATCAACCTGCTGGGCTGTGGCTGATATATCCTTCAGCGCGGCCGCATCAGGACGAGCGCGCCACTCCAGAATCTGCAAAACCACTTCCGCCACGGTGCGATGGCAGACCAGACCGACGACGAACACCCGCGTAACCACGGGCCAAATCCACTGCCAGAACACATAAGAAACTCCCAGTACAAACAGATCCCATAGAGTAGTTGCAGACTCTACCACCCGCTCCCCAACACTCATGCTTCGCTTGATGCGAATCCCAATCAGATGACTGTTCTTTTCCATAAGTTTCCCCATCTCGTACGCGCAGTTGACCTGATTGACGATCAGGGGCAGTGCCTGTTCCTTGTGCGACGGGACATGCTTCACGACCGTATGCAGTTTGAGTTTCTCAACCAGCTTGCCCGACCGAGATCTATCCCCTTCTTCCTCGGTATCGATCTTATCCGACACGGAATCCGACTTATCCGTGGTCAGGACCTTATCACCCAGAGCGAGGGAAATGGGATTCAGCGACATGTACTCCATTCGAGTCGGATGAGGCCGGTTGAACATGATCACTTGAACAGACAGATTGGTTTCAGGCGGGCAATAGATCCGGGGCACCTTGCACGACGGTTGCGTGTTGACATATAGATGCGACGGATTGAAAACCGTCGGCGGGTCCTGCGAGTTAGTCGACCCAAGCACATGCATGGCTGAGCGTCCACAGAGCGTAAATATGCGCACAATCGGGTGCGGGCTATTGCGGAAGAGGATTCCGGCGCGAAGAGCATTGTCGACATTCCGAGGCTATAGCCAATGTGTCAGCACCGCGCCAACCCCCAAGACTACCTTGATCATATACGCACCTCAACATCCTCCAGCACCGTGAGCACAAAGAAGTCAAGCTCCGAGTTCCGCCATCCCACAATCACGCCCGGGGACGACGACCGGGGGAGATCATACGGCCAAAATACCCGTAGTAGTCCATCGCTCATGAGCATGTTGTCATCGTTCAGGGACGACTAAAAGGAACCGCGACGGCGAAGTTGTTCCCGAGCGGAGACGCCGAGATTCACGTATCGGGGGTGCTAACGGCGGAGGTTATTAGGCGGCCACCTATGGTATATTTCGGTGTGGGGAATGAGCGTACCAGTTCGCCCTCTCTTGTGGCCAAATGATTAATCGGAAGGACGAGCAGGAAGAAGAAGACAGAAAGCAACAGGAATCCCTTCGCCGTGCGAGTCTAGTCAAGACAGATGCAGTTAGCCAATGCGATTCCAGCAGGCAGTTTCTCCGAAGCAAGACATACCACGACGCCGTGATCCCACGCGAAAATCGCCAGTTCGTATAACCGGGTAACAAGATCCCACCTGGCGGTGATGTAACCCGCTACAAAGATGCCGAGAGTGAGGATGGAAAAGGGGTGCATGAATCAGGGCTGTGTTGTTAGACGGGTCGCTTATTAGATGGCGCGCATTGCTGAGGGGAAGGACCGAGGGATAAGACGAGCGCAGCGAAGTGGGCGACAGAGATTTGAGCAAAGTGTGACAGACAATGGACCGTCACCGCACACCGCAGGCGATAGAGAACCGGGGGAAATGAAGGACAGACACACCGAGAGCTTCGCCGACTCGAAAGCTGGGGAGAGGTTGGTTCCTGAATTGCGCCGGCGGAGATGAGAATCGCTCCGGAGCGTCTAGACCTCCGCCCACGTGACTGACGGAGATGGCAACGCGGTAGAACCGTTGGATACCTTGATGTACCTCAAATGTATTGATTATGCGATTTGGAAATAAACATTCTAGTAAAGCAATCTTGATTTTTGCATGATGTGAGGACAGAATTGTATAAATGGCTGGACAAAAACCAGGTCTATATCCTGGCTGACTCAGCCGAGACCGAGGCGGGATGGTTCCGACACATGGCTTGTCCGGATCAACATCTGTCGTTCAACATCCTCCGTTTACAATTTTTGGGGTCCGCGCGACGAGATGGCATTTCATTGCGTATCTCTAGGTCTGAAATAAGCTCGTGCCTCGGGGACCATTGATCGTCCGACTAGTTTCCCACATTCAATCCCGTAGCTGGTTCCCAGCTCGGTGATAACTCACGGTCCTCCTGTTCTTTTTCTACATATCACATTCATTTTAATACCCTCATTTCCATAGATCGAGTGATCATTTCCTCCTCCTGGGATTGTGCGGCGATATACAAAGGTATATCCCACCAGGTCGATCATGGCAGAAGGCGAGCCTTCGTACATTGACTACGAGGCCTTCTTGGACCCCGAGTTCTCTCCCGCCTCCTTTGCCAATTCATTGGTGGTGGCCACAAACAATGTGACAGACACACCACTGGACCTGTCAACCCCGCTTTCAAGGGTGCTTTTTGACCTCCAGGAGATCGATACACATATTCATACGCTAACTACCAAGTCAGCCCTGCCGCTGCTGACGCACACGCGGGACCAGACCGCCGCCGCAGGACATGTCCTCAAGGAGGCCGAGGACCAGATCTCCTCGGTAACGCAAGGGTATGAGCGACTGGAAAAGGAGGTGCTTCGCAAGTGGGAAGCGGCCGACGAGGCCAGGGTAGCTGCAGAGAAATCGCTGGCCACTGTGCGACTTGCAAGAGCGGTCGGACGCTGCCTGGCTCTCGGCAGACAGTTGGAAGGCCAACTGAGTGAAATCAACGGTCGTGGTGGTGGTAGTGCCGGAGCCATGACAGGCAGTAATGGCACGGCATCCTCTCCCACCCCTGTCAGGGATGATTATCGCACGCTGGAACGCGCAGCATCCACCATTGGGAGCCTACGTCGGATGTTTTCGGCCACGGGAGTGGGAGAGGAAGGTTACGGGCTGGACCGGGTCAAGGTCATTCGCACGTTGAAGACCGAGCTTCTCTTTCCCGCCGAGAACATGGTCAAATCAAGAGCGCAGCAGGGCATCCATCGATTCTCCATGTCTGCCAGCTCCGCCGGGGGTGCGGGCCAGTCGGGCTACAAGCAAGCGCGCGATTCGAGGGCACGACTGATCTCGGGAGTCACCATCCTGTATTTGTTGTCGGCGGTACCTCCGGGCCTGAGATCGGCGGCAGAATTCCAACCGGAGCTGCTTCTCTCTACGTTGCAAGGGTATATGCAAACAGCCATTGTGACATCTTTGAACAACCTTGTCCGAGCGCTGTCCACGTTGCCAACGCTGGAGCGAACGCTATCCGAGTTGTCCGGGCGATGTCAGGACATCTTTGCGCTCGAGGCCATTCTCAGCAACCTCCGACCGCCGTCCCATCCACTACTCCCTTCGTCGACGGCTCCCGACCGCAATGAAGGCGACGCCTCCGCTGTCCAACACGGGAAGAACAACCTGTTGCAGCCACTTCTCAATTCGCTCGATACCGCATCGCTTCCGTCGTACTTCTGGCGGACACTGGCGTCGTCGCTCACCGTGCGCACCCAGGAGATCGTCAACCGTGGCGGGGTCTCCGCTCGGACACTGAGATCCAACCGGGATCGACTGAAGAAGGAGATCAAGGAATGCGTGTTGCGAGGATCCCAACTCCCGGCGGCGACTCTCGGGACCGAACGAGGACGCGTGGAATCTGGAGGAGGAAGTGGTAATAGTGGGAACTGGGAGCGGGAGGCGGCGGTGATGGTCAGCGCCGTGGTGGGTGTACTATAGAGATAATATACGAAGACGACTACACGATTTAAAAAGACCTTGCGAAGATCCGGTTATTGTTCCCTGCCCCCTCCCTCCTTCCAGATGCATTGAAGCGCCCAAACCGCATCCAACGCACACCGCGCACACACCGCATCCTATCAGGCCTCCCATTCCGCCCTCCGGATAAGCGACCGATGGCGAATCGCACGACGAGCAAAAGAGACGACAAAGCACGGACAGGGCATGTGAAAAGGGTCCGGGATCAACGGGGACTACGAGTCAGCAAGGTACAGCAGCCCATCAGCTGATGGATTAGGTACGACCCGGGGCCTCCAATCAGGGCGGCCGGTGGCCAAGGGGATGTCTTATTTAGCCTCAGCCTCAACCCTCCAATTCATACTGTAGTCCTGATTTGAATTCCACCGGTCCGGGTTATTTTGGCAGAGAACAGCAGGGCAGAGCGGACCGGATGGGGGCGCAGATGGGGTCATCAGCAACCAGGCAACGCAATCCTTCGATGAACTGTCCGGCGGCTATTTTCGGGCCTCGTCTCGTCCCATCCGTTGGCGGTTGCCACATGTTCCCCTTCCGATGCACGAGACGAGAACTGATGTGCAGATCGTAGAAGTCCGGAGTGTGGAGGATTCCTACGTATTCGTGCCTCTTGCCTCCTGCCTGATTCGTTTCGCTTCGCTTCCCGTCTTTTTTCTGCAATCGTTCGACATGAATTCCTTAACCCTTACTGCGTAGAACTAGAAAATTCCCTGTCACCGCTTTAGTGCCACCTCTCATTTTTAGGTTTGGATTTGACAGGTACCAAGTACAGGGCACATCAGCCGACGTCCTTGGATTTTTTTTCTTTTCTTTTTTTCTTTTCTTTTTTTCTTCTTCCTTTCGCCGCATCGACTAGCCTAACAAGGCACCGTCCCAACCTACCTTCGCAAGGAAAAGGGAGGAAAAAAGGGAAGAAAAGGGACCGCCCCCCTCGCTACCTGAGAAACCGCAGAAACGAACCAGGAATCAGCCAGCCCGACCAACCATCAAATCAGATGATTGAAATTCAATGATTCGATCAAACCCGACACCGGCCAGATAATCATAGACGTCAGCACCGCGACCAAGCCCCGCTAATGGGGATCTCCGGCGGTTATACGTAAGACGGTGGGAAAGTCGAGGGGATGTCATTGGCGGGGGTATTGGAGGGCCGTTGGTTGGGGTTGGATGATCGACAAATGCAATATATTAACCATGGGTGGCGGACTGGATGGGCGGGTTTATCGCGAGGGAGATCGAGGGTCTGGACGGGGTGGGAGGGCTGACCAAACAGGTGAATGGGGTATAGAATCAGGAAATGGGCAATTGGGACGCTACTCCATTTGTAGGGTAGCATGCTAGCTGTTCCAGATAGATAGATGGGCACGGATGGTGGAATTGCGTTGCCCATCCTAAAAATACCGCCGTCCGTCGTACCGCGAACTAGAAACTGTGCTAGAGCAGGTACACGACCGGCTTGTACCTCTTCTCCCCTTTCCCCCCCTCCATTCCCCAGAGCGCCGGGACCGAATTACCCCGCCCTGATTGATTGATTGCCTGATAGTGATAAGTGATAAGAGATAGTGATGGGGATCTTTCATCGAGGCACACCAGGTGGTAACTAGGTAAGGTAGTCGCTAAGTACTAGGAACCTTCGGTATTAATCTATTATTCAATGCCCCGTTCCGATGATGACAGTCACCCCTTGCAAACCTAATACGAATATAGATGGAGACAGGCACGCAGCCATCCTATTGACCGTATGTATACCACGTTAGCGAGGGGTCGTCACATCCGTCACCTGCCTTCCGCCGTGCCTGTTTCGATTGTCAAAGCGAGGCGAGAAGCTAGAAGCGGAGGAGTACATGCCATCCAGGTAGAGCGCCCTAGTCTGGAAAGCCACCACCCGAACCAAAACCTGATATGAACTGATTTGCAGTTTCCCCTCCTTTGAGTGGCGTCCCCTCTTTCACTCTGTCCAGCTTGGTTTTATTTTATTTTATTTTATTTTCTGCCGTCTTTCTTTTCAAACAGGAGCTGCAAACTAATCAAGTCAATGTCTTGAGTTTGGACCCTGGTTCGGGTCCGTGTTTGATCCTTTTGGTCTTGATTGATCGATCTTAGTCTGCGATTATACGATCATGAATAATTGAATCCGACGGTGGTTATTTGCAAATCTGACCAAACAATCGACAATCACCACGAGGGATCCGGAGAAGTCCAGGTACTGCCATCTCGTACCTCAACTTATTTTCTTCTTCTGTCAGGTCAAGGCGAAGGTTAAATCGATAATTAAATAAATTAGAATAAAGATAAATTAAAATAAATAATTATTCAAATCAGAAAAAATTAAAACCAAATAAAAAAGGTAGCCTCGGATGGAGACAGGCCACGTCGATCGCCCCTCGCCCCTCTCCCTCTCCCCCTTCCCTTCCCCCCCCTCTCAGGACCTGGATTTTACCGCCACCACCAACCAACCATCGCCGCCAGATAGTCGACTCCGTCCTCCGGCCTCCTACTGGGCAAAAGCGCACCAAACACGAAACACAAAAAGTCAGACCTACAGCCCTTGGCCCCCGTCTGGCTGTCAGGAGCAATTTCCATAGGCAGGTTAGCCAGGTAAGGTACCTCCACGATCAGATCCCCCGGCGGGCCAATGGGAGAGTGGGATGCGAATGGGCGAAGGAAGGGAAAGCTGCAGCGCCGAACTAATGCACTGTCTGCGTTATTCTAAGACTAGGCAGGCCGACCTAAGAGTCAGGTCGGGTTTGGGTGATCTTGGGTGAACGGGCCATTTTTCTTATTTTTAATTAGTGGTTAGAGGCTGGGCTCTGGAGTCTGTGCTTGCGGGAGGGCTATGGGCTATTTTCTGTATCCATAGTCATGCTCCGTAGTCCGGAGGACCCCGTGGTTTAGGTATGACCTCCCTTGAAGGTATAGATAGCTCGACTGGAGGTACTAGGTACAGCGGGGGGAATACTGGTATTATTAGTTAATTGACTCCGATCAATTCTGCATGCTGAACAAACCCGATTCAACCAGACTCTAACCCGTCGACAGGTTTCCGGAGTGAAGCACATCATCCCTCCAAGGTGTGGCGTTAAACAGGTCGGCGTTTCAAGATCTCCTGTCGCTTTCCCTGGCCTGGCCTGGCCTGTTCCATCAGCGTCCGGAGACATACATTACCTCCCTGCATCAGCCCGATGTCATTGAACGGGGTGAAGCTTTCCACCGATTCCCGTTTTGCCGTTTGCAATCGTGTCTCCCCCGAGTCTCCGACATAGAGTTGGGATTTAGAATTCAATTGTCCATACATTCTAGGTTTGACTTTGAAACCTTCACGAAACTCTCGAGATCGTGAGGGAACCTTAGGGCAGGAAGAGGTTGGTTTCTCCACCGCGATTCTTCGTTACTGAACGCGGCGGTGTGAGGTGGGTGGAATTTTTTTTTGTTTAGGCTTTGGCAGCAGACCAGGAACCCAGCGTTCTTAAAAACCATGATTGAATTCCATGCATGGCCGGTATTTATTCTGCCATTAAGGTCGAGAGGATGCCAGTCGTTCATCTGGAAAGTCAAATGCGGGTATGATGCATTGTTTCTCGATCCTCGCCCCTTTCGATCTGTTCGATCTATAGGTCGGGTGGTTATACAGGCCCTGTTGGGAATGTAAGGTACCTCTGCATGTATCTGCATGGCATGTGCTCAAGGACTTCCATCGCACGGGGATTTTGGCTGCCTATCACTTTGGTTCGGTGGAAGCGTTCGGAAAGGCCTTTGTGTGACTCCACACTGCTTCGTATCCCGTGGGGGGGTTTTTTTTTTCTTAGGTCCTGGCTTACGCGGTCCTGGGATTCATGTAGCTACTCTGTAAGAGACTGTTCTCGAATAATAATGGCAGGCGTAATGGTAAGTGTTAATGCTGGGATGGACTGCCCAGTCGGGAGTCAATGTAGGTACGATCATCCACCCATCGACCTACATACAGATACAGGCATACATCATCGCCAGCATTTCAACCATGGCCGCGGGGAAAGTCACTGCCATGCAGCTGTTCCCGATCGTCCGGACCAGAGATCTCGGAGAACCTCGCAAGGACGAGCGAGCGAGAGAAAAAGGAAGGATAAAACTTGGGACTGGTCCGGAGTATTTAATGGGAATTGGAGTTTCTACTGAGGTACTCCCAAAGTTACCAGCACATAAGACTTTTTCTTTTTCTTTTTTCCTTTCCCCCCTCCTCAGGGTCCGGAATGGTGAACGTCAGAGCCTGCGGGTGTCCATGGTCTTGCCGGAGTCTTTTGTCAGCAGGGATTCCATGAGCTCGAATAATGATTCATGAAACTCGATCCTGGGGGTGGGGATGGGATCACACAAGATTGGATCAGGAATGGATTGGACGAGACGAGCGAGAGGGGGGGAACTGGGAAGGGTCCGGCGATGGGAAATCTTACCCGATCGCTTTTTTTTTTTTTTTTTTTTCTTTCTTTGCCTTCAGAACTGTGGCTCTACCTGGTATGTCCTCTTTCTCTTTTGAGGTTTCCCCCATTTTCTTTTTTCTTTTTCTTTTTCAACTTCTCCATTTCCCCGCTAGGATCCGCTAGAGTTCCTGGTGCCTCTAGTAGAAGATCACCGCCGCGACGGGAGAGGACGAAGAAAAAGCATGGACCATGGAACGCCAGGTCGAGATTTGGATCGAGACTCTCGCCGTCGCTTCGCCAGCCTTACCGGTTGGTCCAGCGAGGAATCCATCTCGTGATGCCTTGCCCATGATCCATAAATCCGTCCGGCGGATGGCGAAACGCCCGGCATGTCCTGAGGCAGCGACGGGACCGGGGGGGTTCCTGATACCGTTTCGAAACCGGCGGCAATACCGTGGGGTATTTGAACATCTATTTACGTGGTATACCTACTTGGTATACTTGCCTAGTAGGAAGTAGGTCTACTAGAAGACGCCGGTATGTGGCAGTATACTCTCAAAATCATCCATTATCCTCCTCGAGCATGACCCCGAAAGATCCGTCTCTCGTCTCTCCCACAACGGTCCATGAGTTCATCGGCGATTCATGACTCCACCGGCGGTCGATGATTCATGGCGGTCGGTCCGGATCAAGTCGTCAGTACCTGGGACTAGGGAAAGTTTACCTAAAAACCCTCGGACAGTGACGACGAGATGCACGCTGCCCTCTTGGATCGGGAACTGTCGAGGTTAAATTAGAATATCTAGACTTTGGGCCGTCTCCACGACGTGGACAGGTCCGGTCCATGTCCACGTCCACCTCCCCCCGTAGATACTTGTACTTCTACCTGGCCTTGTACTTGCCCTCCCCGTACTCGTCCACTCTATCGAAACACTGAAACAGCTATCCCAAGCTGATGGTTCCTCTCTTCCCCTCCTTCTGCCCCTCGTTGCGCCGCTGGCCCGCTAGCCGTTGTTTCCGATAAGCCTCTCTGACACTCTCGGACTGTCTGACTGTCTCGTCTCGTTCCCCTCCGTTGGCATCGTCGTCACCATTCGGCTTTAGCTTACCCAGACTCGCCCCGTACTGTACTTGTACCGTCGCACCTCTCCGTCTGGTCTTTCTTCTTCCCCTCTCTCTCTCTTCCTCTCTTCCTCTCTTCCTCTCTCTCCAGCCTTCACCTCGGCTTCCTTCTTCCTTTGGCCTTCCATTTCTTCCCCTTCCCGGCCCTCCCTACCTTGACTCGATCTGTCCACATCGCTGGATACTTTATCGATCCGTCTCATCCGTCCGTTGCGTCGGCCCTGGTTCCTGTATATCCACCCACCGCCTCTATACGTCATACATTTCTTTTCTTTTCTTTTTTTTTTTTTTTTCCGTTTTTAATTTGCGTGCCCTTATTTGATTTTATTTTTTGGTTGCATGAAATTGGTCTCCAGTGTTTTATATTGATCGCCAAATTATTTTTTCCTGCCGGATTTATTTTATTTCGATTTTTTATTACTGATAAATTTACTTCCTGCGATCTTGTTGGGATTGGATTTATTGCAGATTGGATTCCTGCTTTTGGCCACCGTGATCTTATATCTGTTTCTGCCAGCCGATCGATCACCGAGAAACGGACCTGTTCATGATCCATCCATTCCGAATATTCCTGGCCGATTATTATTTTTGCCTTTTATTTTTAATTTTTGTTTTTTGTTTTTTCTCTCCTGGTTTATTTTAGTTCCAGTCTTGGCTGGGTCCCGGCCTTGCTCACTGTCATACCCACAACCCAGGGCCCGACTCGATCTTCGAGTCCCTCCAAAACTTCATCACCTCAACTTGTCTCTCTCTCGCTTTTTCTCTCTCTTCTTCCATTTCTTCCTTTTCTATCGTTCATCCATCAGGCCTCCGTCTTGTCTTCCCTCCTCTTCTCCTCGCCAGGTTCATCCGCAAGAGATGCCTCCTCGTCTCTAATGGTCGTTCTCTACCGCTTATCGTGTACAACTACTACTACCTTGCCCTTGCTTCGCCATCTTCGTCGGGCATTCGGCTGAACATCCATCTCCAAACCTGGTACATTCCACACCTCCCCCTCCCTCCCCCATTCCCCTCCTCCTATAATCCCACCACCCCCTTCATTCGGCCTCGGCTGCTGAAGTCCCTCTCCCCTCCTTTTATTTGTAAGGTATGACCGACACAAGGCAACGTCTCTATAAATCCAAAACAGGGACGAGGGAAAGAAAAAACACAAGAAACAAAAATTCTACCTTGCCGCCTACTTCCTGCCAAATGTATGGTCCTTATGCTGACAGGCGTTGCGCAAATCTGTCCAGTAGTCAGCATCGTCCGATCGACACCGCGTTTTCTCACCTCCTAAACCTTCCCCCAACCTCTTTCGCTGTGAAATAGATCGGCTGTTGTGTGCCGAGCGTCGCTCGACCTGCCCCGCCATCGATTCAGTACATAGGCCTTCTTATCTACATACCCCGGGCGAAGGAATTCCAGATCGGCGTCGCCGTCAGAAATGTCTTCATTCTTACCGGTCAATACCATCTCGTCACCCCCGGACCGGATGATGGAGGATGCGACCACGCCAACCACGCCTCGACCGTCGGATGCGCAAAACCCCCCTCGGCCGACCGACGCCACGAAGGACGAGAACACCCCTCGCAATGTAAATAGCATCGAGCCCACCTCTCGACTGTCAGATTCCCACAGCGTCCCGTCGCCATCCGAAGACCCGTCGCACGCAGACTCGGACGGCGATCGTGAAGGCTCGGACGCTGAATCGGATCACAAGGGGAATGCTCCCCCCTCCAAGAAGAAGAAGGGCCAACGGTTCTACTGCACGGATTACCCGCCCTGCAACCTGAGCTTCACCCGGAGTGAACACTTGGCCCGACACATTCGAAAACACACTGGAGAGCGTCCGTTCCAGTGCCACTGCTCGAGGCGGTTTTCTCGACTCGACAACCTGCGGCAGCATGCTCAGACGGTCCACGTCAACGAGGAGATCCCGGGCGACTCGTTGGCCGCCACCGGCACCCGCTTCCAACGCCAGATTCGAACCGATCGCGTGCGGCCTCCGGGTCGGGCGAGAGCTGGCACGGCCGGTAGCCAGGGAACGCACAGTCGGGGCCACAGCAGGAATCTGTCCGCCTCGAGCATCACATCCACCGCGTCGACATACAGCCAGCCCCAGGAATTCCGCCGTCGACCTCCGCCCCTCATCATGGCGAACGACGGACGAGCCCGGCTGGCGATGGATACGATGGCCGATCCCCCCAGTACCCCTCCCGGCCAGGTTCGCGGAATCCCCGGTCCCGCTGCGACCGGTTCTCCCTACGCATCGTCCCACATCTTCTCCGCTGGTGGCAGCGGTAGTCCTCACGTACCGTCCCCCATGTCCACGGCATCTCACGCTTCGGGATTCTGGGAAGGTAAAACGGCCGCCCGCCGTCTATCAGTGCCGACGGGAGGCAACCCGTTCGCATCGCAACCGGTCAACGCCTATCCTCCGCATGGCTATCCCGGTCCCGCCAGCACGGCAGCATACCCTCCCCCTTCGGGTGGCGTGTATGCCAGCCCGGTCAGCTCCAACTACCCGATGTCTCGGGACGAAGCGGCACACGGTGCGGCCGATGCCGATCTGCGCCGGCGAACTTGGCATCCGTCAACTTACTCGGCCATTCATCGGCCGGCCACGAGTGGGCTGAGCAGCTACCAGACGCCAGATTCTTTCCATCCGTCGTTCGGATCCCATGCTGGGGGCGATCAACCGCCGCGGTTGCCCGGCATTGAAAGCTTCGACAAGGTTGTCTCACAGCGCCCGCTCACGCCTCCTGTTCGCCGACCCAGCCCCATGCAGCTCGATCAACCCGGTAAACCGTCCCCGAACTATACTTTCGGGGGAGGATTCAACTACTCGCAGCCGTCAGTCCGACCGGCGCCGCCGATCTCCGGGCCGGGCCATCGTCGCGGGCACGTTTCGTGGGATATGTCTCTGCACACGAATCTGACGGGCTTGCACATCCGGGACAAACCCCCGCAGCCGTCGAAGGACGCATCGCACTGGAGCCAGCAGACCATCGCGGAACTACACAGCGTGGGGGCTCGCCCTTCATCGTCCTACCAGCAGAACGTGCAAGAGTATCGTTCCCACGGGGGGCACCACCCCAGTTACAGCAACGCCACAACGTCCTCGCAGGCGACGCGAACGTCACCCGAGGATTCCAGCAGCAGCGAGGGGGTTCACACGCCATCGACTGCGTCCCTTGAATACCATCCGGCCATCGTGCACAACAGCGGATACATCGAGGCCCACCATCCTCCGTTCTCATCCGACACGTCTCAAGCAGTACGCACCCGCTACCCGCAGACCCGATGACTGCCCTCAGGTCACTAATTGTACTGCAGGCCCCCCAGTCCGATGGTTACCAAGGCAAACCCGACCCCCGATCCGACCTGTTCCACCACTCCTCTGGCAGAGAGTCGGGGATGGGACGGCTTGAAGCTCTGGTGGCCGTTGCCACGAGCGAAAACAAGGGAACCGCGAAGCTTTTTGCATGAGCTTTTGGACTTGCTTGAACTCGAGATGCCGGGTTAGACGACGGGGGACCTGAATTTGCCTACGGAACAGGCTAATGGGATTGGAAGATGGACCTTCATTCCGTTGCCCGCCTTCCTAGCGCTACCAATCTATCCCACCCTCTCGTTCCTACTTTCTCACCATCGTTTGTTTGACCCGCCGGTGCTGTATAGTATTGAGTCACTTGGCCTCCTTTTTCCATTCTCTCTCCCACTCTTTGTTTCTTCGTTTTTTTCTCTCTGGATATAGCTACGGAGTTTTTCTTTAGAAGAGCGGCCTCTCGTTACTCGAAGCTACATACCTTGCGGTCTGGCTGCGAGAATCATTATGAATTGATGACTGATGAATGATGCATAAGTGACTCTCATGGGGGCTTTGTGACTTGCCAGTCTTTTCGGGGTGTTCCATGTTCCTTTTTTCTTAGGTCTTGTTTTTCTCTCTCTTTCTCTCTTTTCTTCGGGTTGTCTTTTTGTTCTGCATGTTTGGGCGTTTGCTGTTCCGTTTCATTGAGATGTTGTCTTGCGGGATAATGTTCATAGTGCATCAAGATACCCGGCCTCCCAACTCTCGAGTCTCCGCCGCGAGGTTTTCGGGACGTGGAGTTTCCTATCCTTGGTCGTGGTGTGGCATCGATTGATCGTTCGGATTGTTGATTTGCAGTGGCCTGTTCATATCGAGCTCCGTTCATCTATATATGGATCTGTCTGGTCTTCCGTTCCGTGATGTGTTATTAGGAGAGCTTGAGCTGTTTTGACGCAGCGTAAATGGATCCGAGTCCCGGGAGTCTCTTTGGCAATTGACTTGTAACTGTCGGCCTGCAACGGTATGACGTTTACCCCACACGGATCAACGGTACCTTGAATGCCATGGAACCACTCGATGACTGCGCGGTGACGTCGTGCATGGTAGCCATTGCCGCCATCCTTCATCTCCGGTCAGCCGTAAGAGTACGACCTCTGTCGACATTCCTGTGTCTACGAGCTCGATAGGATTGAATCGATTCATTGTCCACTTCAGTGGGAGTAGAACCGGCGATCCTGCCGAGGTGCCAACGAGAACGACCGTAGCCGTGATCGCGTCGAGTGGACTCCCACCCGGGCAGTCTGGACCCAGTCCGGTCGAGTAAAGACGTCATACCCCATCAACCATTCGCTTCCTGCCTTCGCTATTCATTATATTAACTCGCTCTCGTCTCTTCTTGCTGGAAGTCTTTCTTCCTCTATCAGACGATCAATTCAATACTGCCTATTCAATACATCTGCCAACTACTCCTCCTTCACACATCCAACTCTAGTCACCAACACATCACACCTACAACATGTCGAAAAACAGAACCGGAGTCTATGCCGCTCTCGCCGTCGCCGGCGCAGGAGGCTACTATCTCTACCGGGCCGGAGGCGATCCGAATGCCGCCAAGGAGGCGATCAAACGTACGTCTTGTGATTTCGAGCAGCCATGGCAGACAGACCCATGTCATAGAAATCGAGACTCGCCACACACAATGCTAACATTAACATCCCCTCTTGCCTAGATGACGCCGACCGAGCCCGCAACCAAACCCCCAACTTGAACCAGGCCGAACGAGCCGGCGAGAAGACCGGAGCGGACGCGCAGGCCCAGTTCCAGGACGCGGTATGATACCCCCGCCAGATCTATCTGCGACAGATGAGATGATGCCGTGACCGTGTTTAGGGGATGAGGGAGCTGACAGATGCGGTGCAGAAAAACGCCGCCGTCGACAAGGCGCAGAACGCGCAGGCGCAGGCGTCGGGGATCGCGCACGACGGCATCAACAAGCTGGACGAGTACCGACAAGACGCCTCGTCGAAGCTGCGCACGAACGTCGACAAGTTCGACAACGCGGTCGAGGAGAAGGCGGCTGAGGCGAAGGGGTCGGTGTCGGGGTGGTTTGGGGGTAAGAAATAGACTTGTTTGTCTGTGGACTACCTACCTAGCTGGATAGTATAGTATCTACTTGTCGAGATGAGGATGGTTATGATTGATGATCATGGGAGTTGATCGACCAGGGCTCCCCGTGGATAGGGAGGTGTTATTAGTGTTACTTATTTAGTCCGTTAACGAGTTTATGCATGTCTGGTATTAGTTTAGGGCTGCTCTGACAGATCTGGAAATATTATAATTTTATTCGAATGGATTGGGGCCTGGTATGCGGCATTCCACGGGTAGGCATTGCTGTAGTGACGGAATGGCGGATCTCCCGGATATAAAGTCTGGAAGAGGAGATGGGGTGTAGACTGGGGGTAAGACTTGTGATTTTTCTATTGAGTAAATAGATTGACCGAGTGAGTGGATTCAGAATTGAATTACTATTGAAAGCAAAGGAAGCTGAACGGCGAGACTAATTTAGCCCGATCGGGCCCGACACGTCGCGACGCGCTCGGACGCGCTCCACCGCGAAGTCCCCCTTTAATTCTTTAATTAACAGACATCTCCACTCTCCCTCACCCAGACAACCTGCATTAATTCTTCTCGCACACATAATCATAACCATACCTACACCTACCTTCCTCATTTCCTCCTATGTACCTTCTATAATACCTATCTTACCCCCCCATTACTTTAATCCCCGTCCGTCGGAAACCGCGATGCCGCGTGCCTCGACTCGCGCCTCCCTGCCCCGGGGCCAGGCCGCCATCAACGCCTTCACACGAGCCACCAAGCCGGGAATCGTCGCCCCGAAGACCCTCTCCGACGGCAGCAGCGATGGCAAACAATCATCTGCCGCGACGCTGCCGGTCTCGCCTTCCAAGAAGCGGAAACTCAACGAGCTGGAAAACGTGGACTGCGGCAGAGCCCCGGCGGCAAGCACGGCAGAGGAATCGGACCCAACCTCAGCGACCACCAGCCCCGGAAAGGGGTCCTCTCTGACCCGCTCGAAATCCATCCGTCTGAGCGAGGCGTCGACGCCGCGAAGCGGTCACTATGCGTCTGCACCGTCCACGACCCCCGTGCGTGCTGCGCGAGCCGCCGCGGAAAATTCTGCATCCGGGTCCCCTGCGAAACGTGCCTCCGTACGCAGAAACAACACAGTCAAGCTTCCCGAGCCGGTGCTGGAGGTTCGGCCGCCGTGTGTCTCGGAGTTGTTGCATCTGCATGCGGCCTTCGTCAAGGCGTTGACTATGCATGCGGCTCATTGTGGCCCCGGCGCTCCCGCGGACTTGCGAGAATTTCTGCACAGCGTGGAGCGGCTGTGGAAGAAGCGGAAGGTGGTGGTGGGGGATTTGCAGCGCTTGGTGTGGATTTGGGAACAGCAGCAGCAGCAACAACAGCAGAAGGAGCAGCAGACGGCGACACTGTCGGTGCCACGGTTTCGGTTGGCGAATTACGGACTCGGCAAGGTGTGTTTGGAGAGGGTGTCGAAGGGCGAAGGGCGCGTGGACCTCATCAATGAGAATGAGCTGCAGGTGCAATTCGAGCAGGCTGTGGAGTCTCTATGGGAGAATGCCCTGGATGCGGCCGGAGGAGATGAGTCCCGGGTTGATTTCATGGCGACGTTGGGGCTTTCGACGATTCACGAGTCGCTGACGCCGTTTACGACGTTCCGCAAGGGTCAGCAGCGGTTGCAGGACTTGAGGGGCGGCGTCATTAAGCTGAAGACGGAGAAAATGCGCACGATGGAGTCGCAGGAGACACAGGGCCCCGTGAAGACGCAACAGGCCACGACTTCGCGCCGCATGGGGCTGCTGGATCGCATCAAGGAGAAAGCGCTGCGGCAGTCGAAGCTGCCACCGCCGCCGTCGAAGGAGATGATCATGCGCGGCGCAGCGGCGCAGAGGACCGAAGAGGTGGCCGGCGTGCTGTCCCTGCTGAGACCGGCGGGCTACGTGGGCAGTGGTCTGAAGGCGGTCGGGGCGGCGCAGAGGAAGCCGTTCCAGATGGCGATGATCGTGCAGAATGTGCAGGACTCCGTGCGGAATCCCATCTCTGAAAAGGAGGTGGAGGTGTGCCTGGAAATCTTGTCGCGGCCCGACATTGCTGGTCAATGGGTCAACATCGTCACTGTGAATCATATCAAGTCGGTGGTCTTGAAGTCATGCTCCGACGTCAACCCCAAGGAGATCGGGGCCAAAGTGTCTCAACTGAAGATCGGACCGGAAGAAACGGTCCCTGTCACCATCAAAGCTTGAATTGTTCTTGGATTTTTGTTTTGGATGTCATCCGTGGAGTTGCTATACTTCCGGCCTTTAGCATTGCATTTGTTCGGCGTTATCATGTACCACCACCATTAGCGCATATCTGCTAGCGAACTGTACGAGCATAGATAGATCATTGACCAATGAATTAATCACAATCAATCCATTGTCCAAATTGTATTCCCCATGAGCAGTACTTCTGTCTGATTGGCGGACGACCACTTAATGCGCGACGCGTCTGCACGTGACCCGTCGCGTCTCGCCGCGCCAAGACGTGCCTGGGGCATCTTGAGAGCCAGCAGTTTGTCGCTGCATCCAGCAACTCCCTTCCAGCTTCACATCTCTGGCACAATGTCTTCCCGACCAGATCTCCGGGTACGCATCCCAGACCCTGCCTCCGTCATCGCTGATACTAATACACACGTGCCCCACTAGGTCGACGACGAAGTCGGATTCATCCGCTTCTACCGCTCCCTTTCCCACGATGCCACCGACGAAACCATCCGCGTCTTCGACCGCGGCGACTGGTACTCCGCGCACGGCGCCGAGGCCGAGTTCATCGCGCGCACCGTGTACAAGACGACCTCGGTGCTGCGGAACCTGGGCCGCAGCGACACGGGGGGCCTGCCGTCCGTGACGATGAGCGTGACGGTGTTCCGCAACTTCCTCCGCGAGGCGCTCTTCCGGCTGAACCGGCGCGTGGAGATCTGGGGCTCGGTCGGCACCGGCAAGGGCCACTGGAAGCTCATCAAGCAGGCGAGTCCCGGCAACCTCCAGGACGTGGAGGACGAGCTGGGCAGCGTCGGCGGCGGCCTGAATAACATGGACTCGGCGCCGATTATCCTCGCCGTGAAGATCTCGGCGAAGGCGTCCGAGGCGCGCAGTGTGGGTGTGTGCTTTGCGGATGCGAGTGTGCGTGAGCTTGGTGTTAGCGAGTTCCTGGATAATGATATCTATTCGAACTTTGAGTCGTTGGTGATTCAGCTGGGGGTGAAGGAGTGTTTGGTGCAGGTGGATGCGGCGCGGAAGGATGCTGAGTTGGGGAAGATCAGGACGATTGCGGATAGCTGTGGGATTGCGATCTCGGAACGCCCCGTGGCGGACTTTGGGGTTAGGGATATCGAGCAGGATTTGACCCGTTTGCTGCGTGATGAGAGGTCTGCTGGCACGCTGCCGCAGACGGAGCTGAAGCTGGCGATGGGGTCGGCGTCCGCGCTGATCAAGTACCTGGGTGTGATGTCGGATGCGACGAACTTCGGCCAGTACCAGCTGTACCAGCATGATCTGTCGCATTTCATGAAGCTGGATGCGTCGGCGCTGCGGGCGCTGAATCTGATGCCGGGCCCGCGGGACGGGTCCAAGTCCATGAGTCTGTTTGGGCTGCTGAATCATTGCAAGACGCCCGTCGGAGGCCGATTGATGGCGCAGTGGTTGAAGCAGCCGCTGATGGATCTGGCGGAGATCGAGAAGAGACAGCAGCTGGTCGAGGCGTTCGTCGTGAACACGGAGCTGCGGCAGACGATGCAAGAGGAGCATTTGCGTTCGATCCCGGATCTGTATCGGCTGGCGAAGCGGTTCCAGCGCAAGCAGGCGAACCTGGAGGACGTGGTGCGCGTCTACCAGGTGGCCATCCGGCTGCCGGGGTTTGTCAGCTCGCTGGACAATGTCATGGACGAGCAGTACCAGACGCCGCTGGAGACGGAGTACACGACGAAGCTGCGCGGCCACTCGGACAGTCTGGCCAAGCTGGAGGAGATGGTCGAGACGACGGTCGATCTGAACGCGTTGGAGAACCACGAGTTCATCATCAAGCCCGAGTTCGATGAGAGCCTGCGTGTGATCCGCAAGAAGCTGGACAAGCTCCGCCACGACATGTATGTGGAGCACCGCACGGTGTCCAAGGACCTTGACCAGGAGATGGACAAGAAGCTGTTCCTGGAAAACCACCGCGTGCACGGCTGGTGCTTCCGACTGACTCGCAACGAGGCCGGCTGCATCCGCAACAAGCGCCAGTACCAGGAGTGCTCGACGCAGAAGAACGGCGTGTATTTCACCACGTCGACCATGCAGACGCTGCGCCGGGAACACGATCAGCTGTCGTCAAACTACAACCGAACACAGACCGGGCTGGTTAACGAGGTGGTCAACGTTGCCGCCTCGTACTGCCCCGTGCTGGAACAGCTCGCCGGCGTCCTCGCGCATCTGGATGTCATCGTGAGTTTCGCCCATGCCTCCGTCCACGCGCCGACGGGCTACGTGCGGCCCAAGATGCACCCGCGAGGCACGGGCAACACGGTGCTGAAGGAAGCGCGTCACCCCTGCATGGAGATGCAGGACGACATCTCGTTCATCACCAACGACGTGGCCCTCGTCCGCGACGAGTCCTCCTTCCTCATCATCACCGGTCCCAATATGGGCGGTAAATCGACCTACATCCGGCAGATCGGCGTCATCGCGTTGATGGCTCAGACCGGCTGCTTCGTGCCCTGCACCGAGGCCGAACTGACCATCTTCGACTGCATCCTGGCTCGGGTTGGCGCCAGCGACTCGCAGCTCAAGGGCGTCTCGACCTTCATGGCCGAGATGCTCGAGACCTCCAACATTCTCAAGTCCGCCACCTCGGAGTCCCTCATCATCGTCGACGAGCTGGGCCGCGGCACGAGCACCTACGACGGCTTCGGCCTGGCCTGGGCCATCTCCGAACACATCGTCACCGAGATCCGCTGCTTCGGCCTCTTCGCCACCCACTTCCACGAGCTAACCGCCCTCGCCGACCGATACCCCAGCTCGGTCCAGAACCTGCACGTCGTGGCCTTCATTGGCGACGGCACCGACACCCACAACGAGGAAGAGGAGAAAGCAAAGCGCAACAACCAAGTTACGCTGCTGTACCGCGTCGAACCGGGCATCTGCGACCAATCCTTCGGCATCCACGTCGCCGAGCTGGTGCGCTTCCCCGACAAAGTCGTCAACATGGCGCGCCAGAAGGCCGAAGAACTCGAAGACTTCACCAGCACGTCTGACCCGAACCAAAAACAGGAAGAATCTGCCATGGCCATCGACAAGTACTCCGCGGAGGAGATCGAGGAAGGCAGTGCGCTGCTCAAGACGATGCTGAAGAAATGGAAGGCCGAGATCGAGGCCCCGGGCAAGGAGGGCTTGAGCGTCGAGGAGAAGCGCCAGATCATGCGCGATCTGGTCTCTGCGGATGAGCAGCTCCGGGGGAATAAGGTTTTTCAGGGCATTAAGGCTTTGTAGTTTTGTATGTATTATTTCGGGATTCTTTTTTTGAGCGGTTTAGGGTGGCGTTTGGGGTTTACTGAACCGGCTCTTACTAGTCTGGTTGTATGGGATGGTTTTAAAATAGGAAGAATATCAAGAGAATATCAATGGATATCTACATTTTAGTTTCCTGGTAATCATCAGTCCTCAACTTTCCGAGATAGAAAAATAGACACGTATATTTCGTGATCTTGCCAGCGACTAGGTTGTGATACTGTAGATACAAGTTGAAAGATCAATAACCACCAGAACCTCCTAATATTAAGCAAGTAACTCTTAAGGATCTTTAGTGCATTCTTATAGTCGTGTCCAATCCCACAGTTCCATCATTTCCTCTTATCACCTCCCAACATGTTAATTCCAGACCATGGACAACAGCCACTCATCTCTACCGCAGTGTATAAAACTGATAAGCGTAGTCTTTTCCAAGAGAACGAGATAGTAGTTCCATGCGAAGTATCTTAAGTGAATCCTACAAATGCCCACCATCGGACAACCCACGCGATCCAAAATAACCCCCAGCTCTGGCTCACAAGACATGAAATTGTCTCTCACGGGCTTCCACAAGGTTTGATCACACTTGCGGTGTTCGCCTTTGCGATTAAACCGGCGGGATTGTTCGAACAATTTGGCGCCCAACCAGTTTGGGATGTTGTCCCAGGATCCACTTGCGTAGTTTCCGGGGTTTTCGACTGAAGGCGTCTGGGTAGAATTCGGTTCGTCAATCGCCATTGACTGAAAGAAGTCAGGATAGTGTCCCGCTCTGAACTTCCTGGAGTTATGGGCCATGACTGCATGGAGTTCTTGAATGGTAGTAATTTCTCCTCGTGAGGGACGCATCACTAGCAGAGCTGTTCATGCCGGAAAAGCCGGAAAGGCTGATGTCCATTTCGCTTTCCCCAGAGAGTCCGTCCTCCAACCGGTCTCCAGTGTCTGGAAGTGGTTCAGGGGTCTCCTCCGCTGCGGCGATCCATCTTATATATTGAAAGTCTCTCCGTTCTGTGTCCGTAAGACCTTCGGCGGACTGCGGCTGACTTTCCGTTTGAGTCCCGGTCTGAATGTCTTCCCGAGTCGCCAGAGGAATTAGCTACAAGTCACGCAATTGCCGGTCTTTGTTATAGTTTCCTTCGACGCAGGTAGTAGTGTCCACGCCTTGGGGGAGAACATTTCTGGCTGGCTCAGGAAAGGCGTAAAGCCGATAGTTCTTATGGGCTCCCACGTGCAAGACAAACATTTTTAGACCTGACCGTAGCGCTTGTTGTCGGCAAGGTCCCATCCTCGATTCGTGACGATTTCCTTGTGTGGAATTCGTGAATTCGGGCCAATCGTACTGACATTTCTTCCAGATTTCTTGTCTCAACTCCCGGGAGTGTCCTTTGGGAGTAAGGCCTAGCACGAAAGGCGCCGTGAGGTGCAATCCGAACCGGTAGGGATGAGAGGGAGTTTGCCACTGGCCTTGTGGCTTCTAGCCTTTTGCTGCTCGTTGACAGGATAACGTATTCTCTCGGGGATTCCATTTTGACGAGTTTTCTTTCTCATCTCCCATAGATACCTGGGATGTATCTTTCGCCTCATCTAACGTCAAGGACGGTGCTTTCCTAGGAAACTCTGCGCTTTCAAGGCGATTTTGCTTGATTTGTGGACATAGTAGCGCGGCGTCAGAGAGGAACCAGTGATGTTCGTTTGTTATCATTACCGAGACTTTCGATGGCGACAATGGCATTATGTGACGTTCTTGGCTCTCGTTCTCGCTCTCATCTGAATCCGCTCGCCTAATTGCTCTAGAAAACAATGGATGCCGTTTTGATATATGGTTGATAGTATCTAGGATACTCTTTTTTTTTTTTTTTTTTTTTTTT